ATACATACATATATATATATACATATATATATATATATAAATAACATCAGGTAGGTTTGTAATTGTATTTGAGTTGTCTGGAAATGTTACAAAAACTTTTCAATTGCCCCTGTTTTCCTCTATTATTCTCATATGACTCCTCTGTACAAAAACATGTTTACAGGGAGGGACATTAAGCGGAACTATAAAGGACAGGAGATATCTGCATAAATATGGAAAAGATAAAGAAAATGAGTCAGAGACTAGTTAAGAACTGACATGGAAGAAGTATCCTATACAATATTCACTGTATACAGTATACTACTGGTCTACACCAATAAAAGTCACAGATACCCACCTAACTGCTGGAAGAGGAGCGCTACACTTTTACCGCTGACTGGCAGAGTGTCATTGAGTGGGGTCTGGATGAGCTGCCGGTCCCCTGCTCCCAGTGAAAAGAGCTTCTGAAAACATCAACACAAACATTCTGGTCTGGACAAATGCATAATGTAAATACATTAACAATGAATACCAAATAACACCTCAGAGCTACACAAAAAGTACAATACAGGCTGAAGCATATTAAAAATAAACATTTTTAATTATTAATTTTATCATTTAATTTATTAATGTTTAACTGACATTCACTTAAAATGTTAAGGTTATATGTTTCTACAGTAACACTTTATTTTAAAGGGGTCATATGATGTTGCTAAAAAGAACATTATTTTGTGTATTTGGTGTAATGAAATGTGTTTATGCGGTTTAAGGTTCAAAAAACACATTATTTTCCATATACTGTACATTATTGTTCCTCCTCTATGCCCTGCCTTTATGAAATGTGTCGATTTTTACAAAGCTCATCGGTCTGAAAAGTGAAGTGTGCTCTGATTGGCCAGCTATCCAGTGCGTTGTGATTGGCCGAATACCTCAAGCGTGTGATGGAAATGTTAGCGTTGTGATTGGCCGAATACCTCAAGCATGTGATGGAAATGTTACGCCCCACCATACTGTAATGCCCTGTCCGGCTGGAGCGACGAGACAAAAACATTTAAACCCATTATAAACAAGGCATTTGTTGCATCCAGTGGGGACATAATTACGGATTATAATGACTTATACTGTTATTTTACGCGTTGCATCGCGCCGCGTAAACATAAAACCATGTCTGCATTTGTGATCGGAGAAATTACAAACAGCAAGCGCTACTCTACACTGCTCAAAACTCACGTTTGAATCATCAGTGGCAAATTCTTTATATATAAAAAGCGTACTTACAGTCTGTGAGTCAGAACAGCCGGCATTGTAGTCTACTCTACCAGGATCAGGAAACAGTTTGGGTTGAAGGAACAGTGTTGTAAATACAACTTAACCACTGATTTCTAGGCGTGTCCTCTTTTGGAAGGTGGAAGGCAGTAGTTTCACTTTCACAACGAAACACACAGCGTCA